ATTATCAGTCTGGATCATTTCTCTATTCCCTCCCCCATACCTCCCCATCACTTTATATAAACCCACTGGTTTGCCTTACCTCTTGACTTGTCAAAAAATTTACCATCTGTCTGTAGAACAGCTACCAGAACAGAGTAACTACCCATATAACTAGCCATTACACAGTATCAAAATTTAAACAAACTACTCGTTTGTTGAAATGAAAAACACTAGTTTCTTGCTGGCAGGCTAAACAGATTCATTTGTGTCTCACAGCAATGCATAAATCTGAGTTTTTATTCCAGCTTATAGGATGTAATAAAAGCTATATTCAGGTTTTGCAAATAATAAAGTAGAAACAGTCAGATTAAGAGTTGCCTTTATATTGACAAGAAATTATTTTAGAATGGCAGTTCCCCCCAAACACATCACCATGATCAATCGCCCTCTTTACTTAGTGTTCTGTTGCACAGAGACCAGACCCAAGAGTCACTCAAAGAAGTCCTCCACTGCTGGCAAGCTGCCATGGCTGCAGAACTCTTCAAATGGCTTACAGAATAACCCATCTGCATTCCACATTCCTTTAATGATGTAGCTGAAATTTACTTTGTAAGCCCACAGAAAATAGGCTGCCTCCATTTTAACATGGCAGGTGAGACAAGGGAGGGATGTATAAACAGGACAACAGATTAAAAAGAAGTTCTCTATGAAACAAAGTATATGCAAGGCGCACACACACGCACCTAACACTGTATAACCACCTAAGTTGGAAATTTTTCAAACAACTAATGACTGTGTATTATAAACAGGAATGACAAAAAGGGCATCATCAACATATTTACAAGCATTAGCTAACATCATAGTAATCACCATATTAATTCAGGGGTCCGTATTTTTCAGCTGAAGGTTCCATCACCCACTTTACATACAAAAAAAGATATCAGACACACTCTAGTCTGTTGCCTGTTTGTATTTCTCCCTGCCTCAGAACACTATTAAAAGTTCATTCAAATGGCCTTCTTATTTCCTCTTCTATAGCCTGAAACTTGAGCAATACTGAAGCCATATACAGTTCATATTCCAGTGGGCTCTAGGACTTTGTCAGCAATTCATTGTTCTAGTTCTCAAGTGCCTCCCCTCTAGTGCGATTTACAGGGTTTTGGCATTGCACCTCTTCACAATGAAAATATAATCTTAGGGTAGGCTAGGATGCTCTTTTGAATAACAAAGCAACCTTCTTTCAAACTTTAAACAGTAATACACATGGGAAAAGATTTTCTGCTTAGCAGCTGAAGAGAGCTGTCGGATAGCTACCAACATCCTGAAGACTAATTTAACTTCATTTTTAAAATTATTATGTTTCGTGTATCATTACTCTCATTGGTTTGTTTCATTATTTGGAGGGTGCATTCTTGAGCCTTATCCCACTCCATCATTCTTCTTTACTGATATTTAAAAGTGCGCTTCTACTAAGATGATATAATCTCCTTAATTACTTTGTTGCCATTCTTATTCACTTTCTAGAAGCATCACTCCTGTCACAATTTTAAAAAAGTAAAAAAATTTTTAGCTAGATTTTTCCAGGGTTTAGTCATTCACAACCTCCCTGGGCAACCTGTTAGTGTCTCACCACCCTCACAGTAAAAAACATCTTCCTAATAGCTAATCTAAGTTTCCCCTCTTTCAATTTGTACCCATTACTCCTTGTCCTATCACAAGCTTCCTTGTAGGTCTCCTTCAGGTACTGGAAGGTTCCTATGAGGTCCCCATGCAACCTCCTCTTTTCCAGGCTGAAAAGCCTCAACTTTCTCAGCCTGTCTTTGCAAGGAAGGTGCTCCAATCCTCCTATCAGCTTCATGGCCTCCTCTGGACTTGCTCCAACAGTTCCATGTCCTCCTTATGCTGGGGACACTAGAACTGTATGCAGTACTCTAGGTGGGGATCTCACAAGAGCAGAGTAGAGGAGGAGGATCACCTCCATAAATCACCATATCCATGACTGGTGGAAGGGGGAACCACTATAATCGAGGCAGGAACTGAGTCAAAAAAGTTCTCCCTTTGATTTTTCTAAATCTATATTTTTAATGTGTGTGCATGAGGGGGTAGAAAAACACTTCCATCATTTTTTCTTTATATTAAGAGAAAATGTCACACAAAATGGAATTTCTGGTTAATACCCAAAGATACAATTGTTCCAATGCTCATGGAACCATTATTATTCTAGTTAATATCATCATCAAGACTGAAAAGATACATGGCTTTATTAATGATGCAATGTCAAAATCAGACAAAGCAGTAAATACTGATGCTAACAAGGAAAAGGGGTTTTTCTTTGTTTTGACTTAAGAGTCAGGAAGTTTATTTTCCTGCTTAAAACCTCATTATATAATGATACCCTAGTAAAATATCTTGGAAAAAAAGCATACAGAACAGCACTTACATTAACTATGTATTTACATTTCTCTGTGACTTCCAGTGAACAAGAAAGTTACCTGAGCCATCTTATTTTACTTTTCAGGGAAGTTGCTTTCCTTGAAAGCATGCGAATCTAAAGAGATTGCAGAATCAATATATCAGTAAATAGTAAATATTCTGATGGGCCTTATGTAAAACGGCAGTAACTCTTATTTCACCTGCCTGCCAAAAAATAAGAGTGGAGAGTCTGGATCCAACCACTGAAATGTGCTGTATTTAGCACATTAGATATTGCCTAGAGTTTCTGATTTAAAAAAAAGTTCATCTCAAAATGATGACTGAATTGTGGTTGCTGCAAGTTTGGCCATTTATGGGAAAAAAACCCCCTGAATTTCTTAGATGCCACCACTTCTTTATGTAACTTCAAAAAACAGCTATTAATAATGGACACACATCACATTTCTTCAGTCTCCCAGTCTCAACAGCATTCAAAACTTGCCAGAAGTGCTGGGTGCAGACGCAAGGGTTGGGCACAATACCTACAGCTGTTTCCAACAGCATCCTCTCATCTGACTGGTACTTCCATGAAAAAACAGTTAAGAGTCTTTTTAAAATAACAAAACAAATGCAGTGCATAAAAGCATTTTAAAGATTTCAGTTGCTTAATTTGGTCATATTACTACTTGAAAGAAGTTGTCTGCTAAACTCAGTAGTCCCTATTACTAAAACCCCATGCTGTGTGCTTTCGGTTCTATACGTTGGTATTTAGAGGCAACAATAATCATTTAAGAATGAGATCTTATTTTCTGTAGAAAGCTAATGGATGATGATTTTAAAGGAAGATGCATGAAGTATAAACAACAGAGCTTAAAACTCAGAAACCAGGTAAGCTAAATCTATAACTCAAAGAAGCTAAAACAGAAAACATGCATATGATTTAATAGGTCCAATAAGGGAAACTGGAAATCTCACAGAAATTGAGTTTTTGGGTGAAATCTCAATTCTAGCCATCTCAGTAAGAGGATTTAATACACATATTGCTCTAAGGAATTGCCACAACATGCTATAAAGAACATAATGTTATACTCCTTCCTCAAGAAGGCCTGTATTTAAGTTTTGTTTTCATTATATAATTTCTAGAACAATACTTGCATTCAAAAATAGATACTACTTGAATGAATTAAGACTATTTAATATAAAATGGTATGTTACAGGAAACACTGGACTTGATAAGCTCTCTCATATCATCCATTCTTTATGGGGAAAAAATGCAATCAACTCAACAGATAAACTTCAAAACTAGACTTAACACAACTTTCTCAGATTCTCCTCTGAAACCTTCCAGCAAATTACTAAAACAACTTCAGATTTTCAGACCTGATTACTGCTTTCCCATTTTCTCTATGGATCACAGACAATGTGAGGAAGTTGTATCCAGAGAGTTAAAAGTCATCAAAAACCAATCCAATACCATTTCAGCACACTCTCTCAGTCAAAATGCTCACAACCATTCTAACATAAAAATCTACTTCACTTACCTTCTATCACTGTTTTTAAAAGAGTTGTGAAAGAGATTCAAATTTTAGCACTTTCACTTCAATCCTAAAGAACTAGGAGAACTAAGCAATTCTGGAATCTTCTCTCTAAAACAACCACAAGGTTGAACAGCAGG